AGGATAAGGTCTGGCCTGATGAGCCGTTTGTGGTATAGACATGAACCTTTTGCTGTTCTATTCTGGTGTGTTTGCATCCTGCTTGTGATCTGCTGCCCTCTAATGGCCACTGTGCGCACACAGGCTCTGAGGCTGTTTCTAGAACGGTTTGAAACAGATCAATGACGGCGGCGTACCTGAGCTGTTGCTGCTCTCAGTGTCCCAGTGAACCTCATAGCACAACTGCCCGGGGGTGTGGAGGGCTCCCTCTCTCCGTGCAGACAAACCCATCTGAAAAAACACGCAACTCAGCTCGCTTGGATGCACATTAGTAGCCTCTGGGCTGCAAACATGAGCCGATGCAGGTGAGGATAGAGAATCTTGCCTCCAGCAGCAGTTGGCTCCATTTCAAGCATTCTAACAGCAAATTATCAGCACGCTCAAAGCACAGTAGACTTCACGCAAATACACTAAAGTTTTATATTTTTGGCCCTAGGTATGAGTGTGTGCGTGTCTGTAGTTGCATCTGTGTGTGCACCGCGGACAGACTGGTGTCCCATCCAGGGTGCGTCCTGCCTTGCGCCCATTGCTTGCCAGGATAGGCTCTGGCTCCCCCGCGTCCCTGAATTGGAAGAATCAGAAAACGGATGGATGGATTTTTGTTGTGCCAATTTTCATTCTGTTGCCGGGTGGTGTTATCTGAGGAACTCGGACAATCGAGGCTTCGGAGCTGCCTGGTGTTGGGGTGTCCTGGGGGAACCCGTGTAGACAGTGCTCAGGACTCACCTGTGCGCTCTTGCTGCTGCTGTGGGGCTGGCTGTGAATGTGGCCCAGCATGGCCCCTGGGGGCCTCAGCCTCGAGTCCACCACTCCCCCCATGGGGGGCTCCTTCCCAGGGATGCTGTTGTAGTAGTCGTGCTCGGAGGAGTCCTCGTCGTCTCCCCACGCAGACTCCTCTGTGCTGATGTTCCTTTTTGGGGGGAGGGCAGACAAGAGAGAAGGGTCTCTTAGGAAACTCTGGATCATCCTCAGGAAGGCGCCTGCTGGATGCTGCCCAAAGGCTTCACAGGTCTCTCAGAAGCCTCAGCAAGCCCTGATAAGCCTTGAAATCTTGTCCATTTAAGGCCTGAACGCTGGCAATCTTGTGAGCACAGGAAAGCGTGATAGATAACAGAAAAATATTTAAGAACTGTTCTAGGTTAATTTGAGAAAAATACACAGAGCGTCTCTGTGTTTCACTCCCGTGTGCATGAAATTAAAACTTCTTTTATCTTCTGAGACGAACTCCTGAAACGGAAACAGGGAAAAACGCAAGCTTGCAGATTGCTAAAGCAGGTAAGCCCCACACTACTTGTGAAGAACTTGGTTTACCATTGGCAAAAGAGCTGACACGTATGTGTGGAGAAAAAGCTGCTAAACGGCTCGACCTGCTTCCCCCTCCGAAAGACACAGTCACTCATAGAATTATTGATATGGCGGATGATATCAAAAGGACGCTGATAGAGCGCGTTAAGATGAGCAGATGCTTTTCACTGCAATTAGATGAGTCTGTTGATGTTGCTGATTTGGGCAATTTGCTTGTTTACGTTAGATACGGGTTTGAGGGTACGTCCCATGAGGACTTTCTGTTCTGTAAGCCGCTACCTACAGGAACTACATATTTCAGCTTCTGAATGAATTTATCGAAGAGGATGGCATCGACTGGATAAAACGGGCGGAGCGGTGGCTCTGTGGCTCAGGAGCTGTGCCTGTGGCTGGAAGGTTGCCGGTTCAAATCCCGCGGCCGGCAGAGGAATCCTACTCCGTTGGGCCCCTGAGCAAGGCCCTTAACCCCAGCTGCTCCAGGGGTGCCGTACAATGGCTGACCCTGTGATCTGACCCCAGGCTTCTCCCCCTGTCTGTGTGTCTCATAGAGAGCAAGTTAGGGTATGCGAAAAGATAATTCCTAATGGAAGAAATTGTAAAGGGTTAATAAAGTGATGTTATTAATATTATTATTAATAAAATGCGTCGGAGTTTGTATAGAGGGTGCTAGAGCGATGACAACCCGACACAGCGGTGTAGTTGCTTACTACATTAGAGAGTTAGAGAGTTAGAATTAGAGAGGATGCTCCAGATATGAAGTGGACGCACTGCAGCATCCACCGCAAGGCCTTGGCCATCAAGAAAATGCCTGAGGATATAAAATCTGTTAGACTCTGTTGTGAATTGTATCAAGGCTCGACTAATGAATTCATATCTGCTTTGCTCAACAGAACAGGCTCATCCCTCTCACTGAAATGGTGCTTTTTTATTGCTTAATTTTAATTGTTGTTGTTCCTGTTGTCATTCTGTAAAAAGCTTTGAGAAGCGACCTTTAAAGGTGCTATATCAAATAAAATGTATTATTTATTATATGTGTGTGTGAGTGTGTGTGCGCACGCGCGCTCATGTTGGTCATTGAGATTCTCTGGGGTTCCTATGAGAAGATGACTTGTAGGTGGTACTTGGATGCTTTGGTTTGATCAGGGGTGGTACTTGGTTCAAAAAGTTTGAGAACCACCGTATTAGACAGTCGAATGTCCCCCTGCTTTACTGTTGTACTGTGTATCCCCCCATTGCAGCCAGACTGTGTGAGATTTATAGAGTGGTGTTATCTGTGATATGACAAAATGAGCCGAGTCGACAGATGGGAAATGATCTGATCAGGGGCCCACGCGCCCCCTGCAGGCCCTTGCGGGGCAGCGCGTCCGCGGCAGTCGGGGGGCTTACCGCTCGGCGGTGGTGATGGCCTTGGGCGGGCTGTGCAGGTACTGTTTGAACTGCAGCTCGAACGCCTGTCCGATGGTGCTGATGACGCTCTGGGCCAGGCCGTCGCAGCACTCCAGGATGTGGCAGGCTGGCGGGACACAGACGCGGGGCGGACACGTCAGCGCTCGGCCAAACTGTACGGACAGCCGCCCCACCCTATATACCCGCAGCTACTGTATCCCCAGGCCTGGAGCGAGAGATTCCTGCAAGTGAGATCCTCCCTGTTCTCCCTTCGAGTTGCCCTTCCACAGCTAATGGGGCTAAATGCGCTGAAGTCAATCCCGAGGCTAAGGGAGCAGCGTTCTGCAAGTGCTGTTATTGACGTGCCATAGTTGTGGAGAGCGGCAGGGTGGTGTGGTGATTCGCACTGCTGCTTCACAGCACCGAGGCCCTGGTGTCAATTCCATGTGCGTTCTCCCTGTGTTTGCACCGGTGCTCCGACTCCCTCCCACAGTCCAAAGACACACTGGGAGGTCAACTAGCTTCTGGGGAAAACATGGCCCTGGTGCGAGAGTGTGTGTTTGTGCCTGTGTGTACCCTCCCTTTCACCGGGATCGGCTCCAGGTCCTTCACCACCCTGTATTAGATAAAGCAGCCAGAAAATGGATGGATAGGTAGGACATTTAGCAACGAGGTCCGAATGAAATGGTGTGTGATCTTCACTGCAAAGCCCAGTAAATTAACAGAGGAAATGAATGAACAGGGGGGCAAGGTTACAGAAGCTTAGCCAACCACCATGTGATGACAGCTTCATCTCTGCACAGCTTTTTCTCCAATTCAGCCTAGCGGGGTTCAGACTGGAGCTCCCTTACCTCTCTGGTTGACTGGATCTTTAGCAACGTAGGCGACATAATCCGGGGTATCCTAAACCAGACATTAGGGAAAGGTCAAAGGTCAGCATCTCAGCTACTTGAAAGCACGGCAAACCCACAACAAACACACATTCAAGGGTCACTGGCCCATTAAACTGTCATTAAACTGAACCCATTATTTCCATATAATGCCAAATTGTCTGCCTGCTTCTTAACACTTCAGATATCATTTAAGGATATTTGTAATACCTTCAGGTATGTACCCCTGAGCTCTGGACTTGCTCATCCCCAGTCTAAACCTACATTCACTTACATCCATTTTAAAATGTGGTACAGAAATAGAACTCAAAGCTGGTAATTGCTGTGGGCTTTCAGAACAGTGTGATCAGCCACACAGACATTTCTTGATTTCCCAGCAAGGCTCTTAGAGGGAGCCTTCCATCTACGGAATGCATGAAGAGGCTGTCAATTTACTGGGAGTGTTTTTTATAGCTGTTGTACATCCAGAGCAGAGGGGATCAGATGTAACAAACAAAATTCTCTCCAGCGTCTAAAATGAGTCTAATGTGGCAAGCTGTTCAGAAAATCTTGGAACATTATATTAAGGCAATCAGCATGCATTACTGCGAGAGAAGGATCCCTCCTTCCTCCAGAAAGAAAGGGAAAGGAAAGTTTGCTCCCCGGGCTATGGGTCTTCCAGGAAACACTCCATAAACCTGAGCTCATGTTCCGTTGACCTTCAGCTAAGGAAAGCCACTTCACCGAGCTTCACGCAAATGCAGAAGAGCTGAGAAAGCATGGGTCAGAACTCTCACCGTGTCCCCACCCGAGGCGAAGGAGATGGACTGCATCGGGTGGTGAGCGATCACCTGAGAGGAAGACAGGAACAGAGGGTCTCCATGAAGCCACTTCATGCAACACACTTGGGGAGCACCCCCTCCCCCCTCAGGAGCCGGGATGAGCAGTAGCCCCCCGCCCTGTGACTAGAGGGACCAGGGCACTGACCTGCCGGGTAGCGGGCATCCGGAGGCTAAGGCCCTCGATGGAGATGTTGACCGCGATGCTCATGCCCGCAAAGCGCAGGTTGCTCTTCCCCATGATGCACTGCAGGGCCTTGTTCATTGCCTGCGGGGAGGGGAAGAGCGAGGGCGTGTCAGCTCCAGGTGAGGTGAGCAAGGGGCAGGCAGGAAGACAGCCTGCAGACAGGCACGCCCGCTTCGTCTGTCTGCCCATCTGGTGGAGAGGGTGGGCGAGGTTGGCATGCAAGAAATGGCCGTCATGCATCTTTTATTTTGCACCATTATTTTGTCAGGAGGGAACTTGAGGGGAAGGGATAGAAGGAGAAACAGGAGGACAGAAAGAGGGGAGGGAAGAGGAGAGGATCCAGTTATTGTTTTTAAGGTTGTGGCTCTAGTTGCCGGGTTCCAGGGCGTTACTCTCAGAAACACAGTCTGGATAGTTGATCAAAGTCTGGCTTCACACGATAACATCCAGGAGTCTCCAACCTTGGTCCTGCAGGGTCTCTGGCACCAGTGTGACACCCAGCCCGCTTACCTTCTTTTTCCAGGCCCCCTTGACACCTGGCACAGCTTCATACAGCCTGTTGATCGCCTCTCTGGAAGGGAAGCAATGCACAGGGCCATCAAAAGTCGCCACACTTGCAAGACAGGGAATTCTGAGTAAAAATTCTCCTTGCAAAACAGGCAAACCATACTTGTGCCACATTAACACATTATCAACCTCTCAGGTTCCTACATTATGTCGATTTTCATGCAGATGAATAGCAGCCTTCTGCACAAGAGTCTGCATCAGGCCTTATAGTGCGCACCACCAGGCAGGAGGTGTGTGAGATCGAGTGTCGGTTCTGTTTGGAGTCTGCTGATTAGTTCCATTATCGCTGCAGGAAAGCAGCTAAGTTGAGCAGGGCAGGGGACTGGAGCTCATCTTGGGTGGCCTTTGGGTGTCCAGTTAAACCGGGGCACAGCATCATCTGATCAGAGGCACAGACACATGCTCCCTGGGGCAGATACCACGTGGCACAGGGGCAACAGCCTGTGCGAAGCTGTGACTCAGCCAGAGTCGCAGGCTTGATCAAATTGCAGTTTAATAATTTAACAGGAGACCGCGTTCCTGAATAGAGGACTTTTTCTGGTTTCTGGAGGCCTTTGAAAACCCTCATCTTAAAATAAACGAGTTTATTCAAAAAGAACTTGTGGTCAGGCGGGCGGTGTCCACCTGAATCACTTTGGGCAGCAGGAGGGTTGTGTTTGTGTAGTGGAGGCACAGCACACCGCGCTAAAGCACTGCACTGCACGGGGCCTGCTGACATTGGTGTGTATCCTCGCACAGTGCCCCTGACTGACACAGAGTCTGAGTGCAAACAGAGAAGGGTTCCAGCTGCACAAACACCGACTGAACATTTGCCAAAATTTAAATCAATAGTCTGTCTGGGTAAAGAACAGTGTAGAAGCCTGTAAGAGTCTAGAGGAGAGGGTCATCTCACATCATATGGAAAAACTAGATAAAAACAAAACATGAACAAAACAAAGGTAATGATTTACTGAAGAAGCACCAGACTTGTCTATGTAGCCTGATTGTAATTCTACTTAGCACAGCTCAAAACTATTTCTACCCTGGCTTAACGCATGGCCATGCAATTTCACAATGAGCATAGTGATTCTGCTTCCTTGGTTATCAAGACTTTCTGCAGAGAGCACCGAGTACTGGGGCTCTTAGCACTGAGCTTAAGACATCCGTGCTTGTTGTAGTTCATGTCTCGAGCTCTCAGCAGTCAGCATGAGAGCTGTGTGTTCAGTCCAGTTC